CTATTATGGCTTGAAGCATGGGAAGTGGGACCTTTACAGGTTTTTGGTTTGTGGGTTTTTTGGTGTTTTTTTAGGTGATCAAGGTATGAGAGCTGCTTTCAGACGAAAAAAACCTAGTGCAAAGAGATGAAAATGATTTCTTTCTTGTCTGTGTTCTCTAGCCACATAATTTTATTTTGTGGCAATTTATAAGGGGATATCTATTGTATGAAGTGCTGAAGAAGCATTATAGAACAAACAGGGTGAATGTTGCCACACTGCTTCATAGTCAGCTGCTCTGAGCACAGCCTTTTGCCTGAAAACTGCTCTGCTGTGGGAAGGACTAAAATGGGCTTAATGTAACTTAGTGTTTATTAAGAGTTATAAAACTCTTTTTATAAAGAGTTTTAGGGGATGCCTGATGAACTACTGGTTGGTTGAATGCGGAGCTGTCAGCTACGTTCGGATTTTCAAAAGGCGTTCAATGAAGTTTGACACTGAAAGCTCTTCAAGAAATTAAGCTGACACGGGTTATGAAAGTTGTTGCTTGATTAAATAATTAGCTAAAAGATAGGAAATGGAGCATCAGCTGTCAGAGAGAGGAGCGAGGAGGGATTTCTTTGTATTTTTGCTAGGGCCTGCATTCAGCATATCATAAACTATCAGAAATAAAGAGTGAATGCTGAGATGATTAAATTTTTTGTGAAATCCACTGATATATTACAGTAAAGAAATGTGCTATCAGTGAAGCTTTAAAGTTTTTATGCTAATGGGCAGCTGAAGGAAACAATAGCAGATAATATTTATTGTAGGTGAGTGCAAAGAGGTGTAGCATGGGGCCAAGATGATCACAGCTTTATGGTTGCATATATTACACATGTGTTTCTGTAAAGTGCATAGGTAGTGGTGGGGTATGAAGTGAACATACAGGAGTGAGATCTTGCGGTAATAATAAACGTTGCTTTAAAAAAAGAGTTGTTTAGAGCTCAGCAGTTGCACAAAAAGAGAACAAACTAGAACATTATTATTTAGCTATAGAAGGCCACGGTTTGCGCGCATCTTGAGCGTTGTAGGCAGATGTGGTCCTCTGATCTCAGAAACAGGTAAAGGAGAGGCTTAAGGGGTTCAGAGGAGGTAGATAAGGATAATTGAAGCTAGGGGACAAGTTCAGTTGCAGGGATGAATACGTCTTTGTGGAAGCTTCTGTCTGGAAAAGATGTTTGAGTGGAACATGGCAAGATCTGTAAAATTGCAAATGGAATGAAGGTAGATAGGAGAATGATTATTCACTGATCCAGTGTAACTCATTGATTACTCACTGCCAATACAAGAGCTACAGCATACTAAATGAAATTGTGGGCTGGCAAGTATAAGATGAAAGGGAGCTAACTTTGGGAATCCTGGTACGTGCTAAAAGGTCACAAGACTTCCAAAAAGGACTGAGAAGAATTCCCTGAAGAAGAATCAGTTTGCCATTGAGTTTCTGGCTCTCAAACATCTGGAAGCAGAGATAATATTTTCATAAAATATCACTGTATTTTTGACCATTTATTACACTCTTCCCATCTGAACTGGCCAATACAGAGGCAGGTTACTAGTGCACGTGGATTTGTTGAGAGACAGTGCAAGGATTTTGATGATTTTGAGAGGTCTTACATACCTTTCTTGCACGAAACTGGGCAACTTGAGCAGTAGTTAATTACAGGTGTTTAGAAGGACCTATTTATTTTACTATGCACATGTTTGCTTATGCAAAATTCAAATGTGATGTATTTGATTCTAGTTAAAAGTTTATTCAGACCTGTGCTAACATAAATGCTTTTAATTCACCCTTCTTTTTGTTATATTAGTGCACACTTTTGTATGGATCTGACATTCATTTTTAGAATGAATAGAATAAAATGAAAAAAGTTACAAACTCTTTAGTCAGGGCTGAAAGGTTCATCTTGGAGGATTAGAGGTGAATGGATGCAATTGTATTTTTTATAGTAAATAGATAATTTTATATTTTTTTAAGGACTGTTTTGCCTTCACAATGTTTGGAGACTTATTTGAAGAGGATTTTTCCTTTATTTCAAACAATCATTGTGGAAAAGGGAAGAAAGCAAAGCCCAGAGATTCTGAGCCTCCATCTCCCAGGGATTTCACCAACCTAAGTGGTATCAAAAATCAGGGTGGGACCTGCTACCTCAATTCCCTTCTGCAGACTCTGCTTTTCACACCCGAATTTAGAGGTAATGTGTTCAAAACCTTCTTAAACTAATGTTGGGATTAATATTTTACAGTCACTTGCATTTCTAGTTATTTATTAAGAGAAACACCACAAATGCAGATTGTTTTCAGGAACAGTTTATTTCCGTTCACTTCATATAAGTTATTACAGAATACTCAGAGCTATTGGTCTGTAGAATTAGTATTGTCACTTCTGCACAAAACTAAGTATTCCAAACATTACATTTTCTTACAGGTAGACAGTCTACAGTTTGAGTAAATAAGAGAGGTTATTGCTGTCCATAAAGTGTCATTCATTTTTTAATGCAACCACTACAATTCCTAAAAAAATGAGGTATTTTGCCATCTAAACAGTGTCATGCTTACCTATGCTTTGTTGTTACAGCTTGAACCAGTTGTAAGGATGAATGATGTTCAGAAATGTTGTTTAATGTCTTAATTTGCTAAAAAGAATAGCATCATAATGCTTGACAGTTTAAAGATTTTATTTTGGAGTATTGTATTTTAAGAGGAGACATTCTCTTTTTTTAAATAAGGCATTTTTCTTTACATTTACAGAGGCCCTGTTCTCTCTAGGACCTGAAGAACTTGGGACTCTGGATGATAGCAGTAAACCAGATGCAAAGGTATTTAAACTTTTCTTGTCATTAGTCACTGCTGAATGTTGATTCTGAAGAATATTGCTTAAATTTGCATAAAACTACTTATGAGAATGAATGAAATCCTAACTTCGACACCTAAAGGCAGTTTGGTTGGCTGATACTTGATTTTGCACACAGATGTAAATTTTCAGTGCCATAAGCTTTTGCTTCAGAAGTAAGATATTGAGCCTGTTTCTGCTGAAACTGATGACAGAGATGATTTTGTCTTCAAGGAGAGCAGGAACAGTCCCAAAGTCTGCACAGTCCTTTTTTATACTTTTTTTCTTCTGTAAAGCTACAGTGCTATGACTTATTTGTCACCAGGAAAAAAAGATAGTATGTGTGTGCGGCCTAGATGACTGCACTGAGGCTGTCTGAAGGTTTAACAGCCCACCTATGTGCAAGATGATTTGGGACTGGAATTTAATCCTTGTTTAAAAAGTGCGTACTCAAGTTGACTACAGAATTTCGTTCTTCAGTTCTTGGATTGAAGTGACACACCTGGTTGCTTGGAAATTTTTTTTCTTTCTCAGTCAAAGATAACAAGCTTGATCAGCTACCTGTATGTGACATCAACTGTTCTCCTTTCAGTCTTATTCCACCCCACCACCAAGCCCTTTACTAAGCAAGGAGTAGCACATGTTAAATCTGTATGTCATGATGTCTTGTAGCTGACCTGCTAGAGTTTAGTATTATGAAAAATGTCAGAGAAAGTTGTCCTTTTTTACTACGATGATGGCTTAATTTTAATCCGTACAGTTTTGCTTTATCAGAAAAGGTATGTTCCATGACTATATCTGGCTGAGTAAGGTCAGGCACTGTAGGTTTTTGGGAATCAAGTCTGAATGATGTTTTAGTGTGACTTGAGTAACCTGTGTTATGGAAGCCATAGACAGTGGTGGTTTATTACAAGTTTTGTACTAAATTATTTTTCTTTTTATTTAAATGATTGGTTTGAAGTCTCTTTCTGATCTGTTGGGTTTTTTGTTTATGTGGGGGTTTTTTTATATATTTCTAGGTTCGAATAATTCCATTACAACTTCAACGGTTATTTGCTCAGCTTCTGCTCTTGGACCAGCAGGCTGCATCTACAACAGACCTTACTGAGAGCTTCGGATGGAACAGCCATGAGGTACAAATCATTGTCAATGACACCATCATTGATAAGCCTTTTCCTGAACGGAAAAGATTTATTTGTTTTTGAAGTGTGACATTTAAGAAATATCTTAAAATACTTCAAGCTGTGGAGATAGCATTGAATTGGGTCCACCTATGGTTGCATACTGTTGTAGCTCCACATGAAGTACACGCCAATTGTTTACAGCAAGCAGCAGAAGAAAATTGTTCTGTTAAATACAATTTCAGTAGCTTTTCCTTTTTACAAGAACTTTTTTCCAACAGTAATTAGGGTTCTTGTCGTTCAAATACTTAGATTCTTACCTAAACTGAACTGTGTAACTCATCTTAGAGTTTAGTCTAAATCTACCCAAGTGAAAGTGTCTTGTGTTGGTTATAGTTTCTGTACTTGTAGCTACTTAGAGAGCATAACTAAATTAAGAATAACAAATAATAATAAAGGTAGTAATTTACTACTCAAGGTAGTAAATACATGGGTAGCCATAGAGGCAACTGCCTTTGTCACATTTAATATATGCTGCTGTTAAGCAATAAGCAACGCAGACAGCACTATTTTATATCTTAAAGTGTTTGGGGTTTTTTTGTCATGCAGGAAATGAGGCAGCATGATGTGCAAGAATTAAATCGGATTCTGTTCAGTGCTTTGGAAACTTCCCTTGTGGGGACTTCAGGTCATGACCTTATTAATCGATTGTACCATGGGATTGTTGTCAACCAGATTGTTTGTAAAGAATGCAAGAATATCAGTGAGAGACAGGTAAAGCCAGGGGATTTTCCAGGATAGGTTTCTGTTCAGTCTGTTGAAGATACTTTAAATATTCTTTTTTTAAACTCCAAAAATAATGACCTCTTTCTTGAGTGTCACTGGTCGCCTTGTTGAATCTACTTATTGTGTATTGGTTAGGGCACTGCGGACTTGAAAGCATGTGAAAATTATGCATGACTTTGTTACGAAGTCTTGGCTGGCATTTTCTAAGCCACCTACATCAGGCTGTGACTCAGAGGTGAAAAAACAACTGCTGTTGCATTTTAACCATCAGCAAGCATTGCTTTCAGTAAATGTAGTTAGAGCGCTGAACAGTGGGGTAGCAACAGTAAAACATATCTTTATATTCTTTTACTGCTCTTGTAATGTAAAAAAAAATTCTTTTTTTTTTTAATTAATTTCTCTTATGTGGATATATGGGGTTTGTTTGTCATGTGTCCCCTGCCCCCCAATCAACGATGAAAGCAAACTGGGTGCCCATATCTGCTGTGGTGAATGGGATGAGTATCTTTCTAATTTACAATGAACTTACACCACTTATATTACCATATTTTTTTGTTGTACTTCCTGTGTAGGAAGATTTCTTAGACCTAACAGTGGCGGTAAAAGGTGTTGCTGGCTTGGAGGAGGCCCTGTGGAACATGTATGTAGAAGAAGAGTACTTTGAAAATGAGAACTTGTATCGATGTGGAGCCTGTGATAAACTTGTTGAAGCTTCGAAGGTAATGCATTGGTGATTCTTAGTGTTCAGTTTGCTGACGTTTAGCAACTTGTTTACGGCTGTGTCTGCCATCTAACTCTGAAATAAAAAGATCCTTATCTTTAATCAGACTGTATATAACAAGAGGATGCCAAAATCTGACCTGTTTTTTTTAAACCTCAGCAACTATGTCAAGAAAAGCTCATGTGACTCCTTTCTTGACTTGAATGTTGTTGCAGTCTTTCATCTAGCCGGTGGTGAATGGGATGGCATGTAGTTTCAAGAGTATTGCCTCTTTCTCACACCTCTACTGCCTCTAGCTTTGGGCATTTCAGAGGACAGGCTAAAAGATAAACTAGAGCATAAAGAAAAAATAAACAGGTCCATGTAATGAAGAAAATCATTGAAATTCTCTCATGAAGAACCCAAATGGGAGAGAAAAAATAATGAACAACTGTTACTCTGCAGAAGGCAATGGGTTCTGTTGATCCAGGTGTTGCATTGTTTCCCTGGTGCTGAACAGGTTCTTGCACCTTAGTAGGTGTTTTCAATATGTTCTGTAGTGCTAGAGCCTTCAGGTGAATAAGAAGTATTCATACAAGGAACCATCCAGCTCTTCTAGTGTGTAAGACCCTGGGTAGGTTTTCACCGTGTGTGCCGGTGTCATTCCCATCTGCCAGCTTACTTCTGGTAAGAAGTAACCACCACCACTTCGTGTTCTCTTTTGGTGAGCTTTTCAACCACTTGTCACATGCTAAGCCAGTGGCTTCCATCCATGGGCACCACCAGGAGTTTCCCTCCATCTGAGAGGCCGGGAGGGAGGAGGATAAAAATCCAGGCACAGCAAAGCTGCAAAGTCGTGTTCCTGTGGTCAGAGTACAGACTGTGAAAGAGTATTCTCCTTCAGGCAGTAGCTTGAAGACGCTTTTGAAGGAAGCCAGTGGGTTTATCTGTTGAGTTGTGCTGCTTTGTCATAATCTAGTGAATGATTTGCTCCTTTGAACTGTCCTCAGCTGTAGGTGAGAACTGTTGGTTTCGAGTTGTTCTTTTAAAAATTACTTGTAAAGATAAATGCAGTAACCCTTTCCTCAGCCGAGTCATTGGAGCTCCTCAGTGTTTGACTAAGAACTGTTGACATTAAGCCTGGGGTGTTTATTAAGAGTGATCCCCAGGAGCTCAGGGACATCCAGGATGGAGTACTCCTTTGTCTGCCTGGTTTCCTGCCTTCACCTTTGGGTGCCTTGGGAAAGCTTCAGATGCTTGATACTTGTTGACATTGGTATCCTGCAGAGGACCCCTGTATATGACCCCGAGTGCTTTGTTGAATGGTGGTGTGGCTGATCACATTGGTCACTGTCTCTATGCCAGTGCACCCTACAGCATCCTTGTGCTGACAGCTTGTCCCTGTCTGGCTTTTGACAGTTTGGACTGGTTTCTCCATAACAATTGAATTTATTAAGACTTTTTATGTGTCTTGTCATCTTTCCCCTTAACCAGGGTCCCAGAAGGGCAGTCAGGTGAGAGCTCTGTAGAGGTGTCTGAATTGCATTTTTCCAGAATGGTACAAAGTGATGTTTGGTTTTCTTCTGTTTTTTCATGTTACAATTTTTTTTTAATGAAAGTTTCTCTTTTTTCCTGTTAGTCCCTCTATGTTTTGTAAAGGGGAAATGGACATAGACAGCTATTAGTTCACTGTGATGTATTATGCCCTCTTAAAAACTGTGAAGCTCTTTGGCCTACTGCGGTGACTGCCTTCTGTGGCAGGATGAGTGCAATCCAACCCTTGCAGCACCCTTAGTGTGGAAGGGAGAGGGTGCAAAGGCAAGCTGAGGACAGGCAAAGTTAATCAGTAACTTGGAAGTTCACGAACATTTGCCAGTGCCTCATGTGGCTTGGTTATAAGGGCTTGTTTGAGTTAAACTTTGCTGTGTACAAGGGGGTGCAAGAGAACAGTTGCTTACCTCTCAAATGTGGTCATCCATGCAAAAAGACAGCGGGAACTCTGAACCTGGGTAAGAAGACATATAGCGGGGGGATGCCAGAGTATGAATGGACAACCTCAAGAAAAAAAGACTGTAGGGGGAAGGAGGGATGTTGTGTCAGCACAGCTGCTGCCTGTGGCTCTGTGGCCCTGCAGGCCCGATGTGCGTGATCGCAGCAGGCTATACTGAGAGTCAACACTGGCAGCAAGTGAGGTGCCAGCTGGGTCACTCTAGGCTTGGTGGCAGCATTGGGAAGGCAGCTGCCTAACAATGTGACTACCTTCCCACACCTAACCTGTTTCAAAGACAAGACGGTCCATACCTACCCACTCCATTCCTCCCTGCCTTCAGTACTCTGTGGGTCTTTGGGTGTTATTCTTCCCCCTTTTTTGTCTTGGCCTCTACATATATTAGTAGTTGAAGAATCTCATATTCCAGAACCTCATCAAATTTTAATTGTACCGTCTGATTTTCACCCTAAACTTGGAAGAACATGCAAAATCTTTTGTGCCATTAAGCTCTGCAATTCAGTCCTCACAGTTGACACAAACGAAATACCTAATTCAGAAGGCTTCTTAAACTGTATGTGTGTTCCTGGGAGGCTCTCTGGTATGGCTCCGCAAATGGAGAGTTGTGTGGAAACACTGGAAAGGTTCACTGGAAAGGACGCTCAAAGAAGTGTGTCTGTTGAATCTACGCTTCTATTCAGAGGTGATACAAGATGCTTGATTTTGCTTCATACCAGAGTTCCTGATGTGCTCACGTACCAAGTTGTTCCATCTTGATTAATATTCTTCCTTACTAAAATGGATTATGTTGGCTTTCCTGCCTTGAATGTCCTTTCCTATATAAATGGAGAATTTTAAGTCTTGCTTTGTTGTTCTGTGGCTGGCTGTAGGATCTTCCAGGGTACACCTACCCTATGCTACTCAGGCACAGCATTGTGCTCATCGTAGCCCACAGATCTTAGTCAAGGCCCTTTTCTTCCAGCAGCTTGGCAGATCTTAAGCAAAATGCCACTGTGATATATTCTGGTGACATTTTTCAGACCATTTCTGTTGCATTTGAAGGCAGCCCAACAGTCACTCAGCAGCAGGCTGCAAAATACATGTGGAGGTGATCTCTTTCTGGACAAAATACTCCTGTCAGAGCTGGTTATCATAGAGTGGTTTGGGTTGGAAGGGACCTTAAAGATGATCTAGTTCTGACCCCCTTGCCGTGAGCAGGGACACCTTCCACTAGACCGAGGTGCTCAAAGCCCCATCCATCCTGACCTTGTACAGTTCCAGGGATGGGGCATCCACAACTTGTCTGGGAAGCCTGTGCCAGTGCCTTACGACCCTCATAGTGAAGAATTTATTCCTTATATCTAATCTAAATTTACCCTCTTTCAGTTTAAAGCCATAACCCTGTGTCCTATCACTATATGCCCTTGTAAAAAGTCCCTCTCTAGCTTTCTTGTAGCCCCCTTCAGGTACTGGAAGACTGCTGTAAGCTCTCCCCAGAGCCTTCTCTTCTCCAGGCTGAACAACCGCAACTGTCTCAGCCTGTCCTCATAGGGGAGGTGTTCCATCCCTCTGATCATCTCCGTGGCCCTCCTCTGGACCCGCTCCAACAGGTCTGTGTCTTTCCTGTGGTGAGGGCTCCAGAGCTGGATGCAGCACTGCAGAGGAGTCTTACCAGCATGGAGCAGAGGGGCAGAATCCCCTCCCTCGACCTGCTGGCCACACTGCTTTGGATGCCAGCCAGGATATGGTTGGCTTTCTGGGCTGCAAGTGCACATTGTCGGCTCGTGCTGAGCTTCTCCTCAACCAATGCCCCCAAGTCCTTCTCTTCAGGGCTACTCTCAATACATTCTATGACAGATAGTATAATTTCTGACTTCCACATTTGAAAACATTGTGTCTGTACGAGCCCTGACCTGTACTTGGGGTCATACAAACCCAAAGAACTGTAAGACTCCTCAGTGGTCATTGGAATAAACCTCAGGTGAAGTACAAATGCTGTGCTTGGAGGAGATGTGCAGGATGCGGCAAAAGAATAATAGCCCCAGCCTGAGTTGATATCCTTTCCTTGCAGCAGAAGCAAGTGTGTAGGCTATGTTTGTAGGTTGAGCTTCATTCATAGCTTTTCTTTTTGAGTGGCTTTGGGCCCTATGCCAGATGCTGAGTGCCCCGCTGTTCATCTGGGAATGGCAAAGCTATCACAAAGCTGTGTCCTCTTCTGAAGTGCCAGAAGAGGCAGCTAAGTGTTTGTGCTTATTTCTCTGGGCTCCCAGGGTCTGTGTGGCAGATGCTGAGGAAGGGGCCGAGAGCAAAGTTGCTGGGAAGATGCTGTAGTCTAAATTCATGTGTAAGCACAAACCCAGGGCTTTGAAACTGCTGCTTCTTAGTATAAAATTCAAGAAAATCCTCTCTCAAAGAACATGTGGACTATGGAAATGTAATTGCTGACTAGAATTTCAGCAATGTCCTCCTTTGTTTTCTGTAGGAGAATAAAGTATGGGACCGGTGATTGCCATTCAGGGGAAGGAATCAAGAGATTGCTTTTAGGATGTTTAGTTGGTAGGGGAATTGAGAATTAAGGAAGACATTTTAAAAATGAAGACACTGGTCATGTCTGCCTGGTTGTAACAAAGCTTTGTTGGAAAATAAAAAGTTGACCATAGCAAGGTGGAAGCGCTACACTATTCTGTTATAACTGTGTGCTTACAGTTTTGGTGTTTTTTTAAATCATTTTACAGTCTGCTAAACTCCGCAAGTTGCCACCCTTTCTCACCATTTCTCTCCTGAGATTTAACTTTGACTTCGAGAAGTGTGAACGATACAAGGAAACAAGCTGCTATACGTTCCCTATCCAGATAAATCTGAGGCCTTTTTGTGAGCAGGTTTGTACTGTTACATTTGTTAAAGTTTCTATATAGTCTGCAGAGAACCTCTATCTCAAGAACCAGTTATCTCTTATTCTGCATTTTGTCAGAGAAACTTTGTGGGGTTTTCTTCTGTCCCTAAATCCCAATTTTTGGAATTCCAATTTGTTTCCAAAAGACCACTTTCTAACTGAGTGGGAAATACCTTATAGCCATACGAGGGGAAAGGGTATAATAATGACCTAAACCTTAATCTGACATTTGTTTGAAAGGAGGATGATCACCTGGAAATAGAAATTAAATTTCTTTTTGTATCGTCATTGTCTGATAACATAATGTATAAATTTAGCTATATATGTTTTATGTGGCTGTAGTTACTTAATTTTTCTTAGAAATGTCTTTGCATTCGTATGTATGTATTTTTACTATAAACTGAGCTATACCAGTGCTTGATGACAATGTTTGATCCTTAAAATATATAAAGAATATATGTAATAGAGGCACTGTTACGGAAAAAGACGTTTTTCTTGAAATGTTGCAATGCAAGCTTGGAAATTTCTCAGTGTTTGCATTTAAGGAAGCCTCTTTTTGTTTGTGTATACGTGTGTTACTTGTTTTTTCTCTAGTTTTTTAAATAAAACAACCTGTTTGTTCATAACTAGGCTTAAACTGTTCTATTATTTGCATCAGTATTTAGAATCACAGAATCACAGAATCATTAAGGTTGGAAAAGACCCTTAAGATCAGCAAGTCCAACTGTCAACCCGACACCACCACGCCCACTAAACCATGTCCCAAAGTGCCATGTCTACGCTTTTTTTTTAACACCTCCAGTGATGGTGACCACTTCCCTGGGCAGCCATTTCATTATTTTAAGTTTTGAATTTCCAATATTGTTCACAATCATGCTTAAAAAGTTGCTTAATAAGCCTGTGCCTTGGTCTGTGGGTGTGTCAGTCCATACCTGTGTTCCTGAGCCCTGAAAAGCCATTTCAATCTCTGCACGTGCGAATGCACACTGAGAAATATCCAAAGGTATGCTGATGGTGTAAAACTGTCCTTGTGTGAAAGACTTACTGATATATATTATTGTTATTATTATTGTTTTTTTCTTTTTAAAGACTGAAATGGATGATTCAGAGTACGTGTATGAGCTCTTCTCTGTTATTATACATAAAGGTGGCTGCTATGGAGGACACTATCATGTTTATATCAAAGATGTGGATGAATTAGGAAACTGGCAATTAGAAGTAAGTCTGAAAGGTTTTTCTGCCTTGGTATGTCTCATTTTTCAGAAGAGTATTAAGAGCTAGTGGATGAAATGTACACACAAACTAATGAATATTTTAGTGAGGCATTTGGTCTCTTACCTCATTGAGAAGGCTAGTTTTCCACAGTATGCGATCTCTATGAAGAATTTGTAGCAAATTTTACCTTTCCTATCTGCTGAACTATCTCACATTATTGGGCTCCCTTTTTCTTTCCCAGATGAAATAATATCTTTGGTCAAGACTAGCACAGTCATTTTAATGAATGACTCTGGCTGGCTGTTTGTAAATAACACAAATGTCTCTTCTGTTAAAAAAACCTGATAGTCGATACTCTGCATGACAATATAGAGTCCGTAGCAGCTGGCAGAGGCAGCTTATCAGAACTTCTTTTGCACTTTTAAATAGTGCATGCTAATGTTAATACAGACTATAATTGAAAACCACTAGTTATGCGCGAAACAACAGTATTTGTGAGTCTTTTATTTTTCTTATACAGGAAGAAGAGGATAGACTGATTGAAGATAAGGCTTTAAGAAACACTGAAAATGCCAATGAAGTAGAAAATCCGATGGCAGTGTTGAAAGGGATTTTATCAGAGGTATGGTATGTAAGGAGTTTATTGCTTTGATTTTGATATTCAGGAACCTAGCAGAAGGGGTTAGTGTATGCAAGAGTGGGCAGGTTTCAGTTTACAGAACTCTTCTGAACTTATCGTGAACCATATAAAACTTGGAACTTAGCCTGACTAATACTAATAGCGGCTCTTCATACAGAAAACATCCCTTTTTGAATATTTCTTAAGTAGCTTGCCAAAGCTGTTGCAAAAGGTGATGTTACATTGCCTTATTAACAAACAGGAATTATAAGCACTTCAGAATGGCTTCTTTGTGTTGATCGCTTGATTTTTGTAGCCTTTGTTATCTTAGTTTTTAATTCCTCTGTAGGAAAAATCTAAACAGATTCCTGTGGATCAATTAGGGCAGAAATTATTGGAGAAAAAAGGGGTATCCTGGAATAAGAAATACCGAAAACAATATGGAGGATTACGAAAGGTAATATGCCTGTATGTTAATTTGGTTTTTACTGTTAAGAAAACTTTACATTTATATTCCTATTGAATAGTCAGTAAGATGGTAACTGAAAATACTGGCACTTGGACTAGCAAGATAAAGCATGTGTAAGAGAGGTTTGTAAGATAAAGTAATACACTGGGGAACACAGACAAAATTCTCAAGGGGTTGTCTGCTTGAAAATGTTTATCTTTTTTTTTTTTCCTACCTATACGGTTGACCTATAAAAGAATTAACCTTACCTACTTAACCTTGTTTCACTTGTGGCTGTGGATGAAACTGCAACAACGCCACTACCACTTAAACATGTGTCGTGGTTTAGCCCCAGCCAGCAGCTAAGCCCCACGCAGCCGCTCGCTCACTCCCCCATGGTGGGACGGGGGAGAGAACTGGAGGAGTAAAAGTGAGGAAAGTCATGGTTTGAGATAAAGACAGTTTAATAGGTAAAGCAAAACAAGGAATTCATTCACTGCTCCCCATGGGCAGGCAGGGGTTCAGCCATCTCCAGGGAAGCAGGGCTCCATCACACGTAACGGTTTCTTGGAAAGACAGATGCCATCACTCCGAACATCCTTCCACCCCTTCTTCTTCATCCCAGCTTTATATACTGAGCGTGACATTGTATGGTGTGGAATATCCCTTTGGCCAGCCTGGGTCAGCTGTCCCAGCTGTGTCCCCTCCAGCTTCCCGTGCACCCCCAGCCTTCTCGCTGGCAGGCCAGCATGAGAAGCTGGATTGTCCTTGACTACTTAGCAACAAACTCAAAACATCAGCACATTATCAACATTTTCTCATCCCAAATCCAAAACACAGCCTCACACTAGCTTCTGAGAAGAAAATTAACTCTATCCTGGCTGAAACCAGGAGAACATGGAAGAACTGATGAGAATTAAAGATGAAATATAGTACTTCTTCACAGTCATAACAGAAACAAGGTTTTGAAAACATAGGCCACTTCTTGGTAGATTAGGGCATGTCCATAAAATTAATACTTCCAGTAAAATCTTATTTTGTGAGTTGATTACTGTGGGTTTTTTTTAATGCTGTAAGGAAAATACTTCAGTATTTGTGTCATAGACGTGGAAAATTCATGTTTGACTGTTTTTTGAATGGAGCTGACAATGTAGTTTTCACAATCATTGTTTAAAAGTAGTTGTGAAATCTGAATGCAAGTCTCACTTTCACAAGTGCTGGATCTGTACCAAAAGCATGCTGATCAATGCAGGACTTGCCTTACTGAAACAACTATAAATTGTTTTACACTTTTTGAAGTAGCAAATGAGGTTTTGATTAAGATTGAAACTGAAATTCAGATTTTGGGGGGTTGTTCTTGTTTATTGTGGTTTGTTTAGTTGGTGTGTGGGTTTTTTGGGGGGGTTGTTTTTTTTTTTTTTTTTGAGGGGGTTGGGTGTGTTTTGTAGTTTTGTGGGGGATTGGAGGGCGGTTGGTGTCATCCCCATGCCCCCATCCCTCAATAGCCACAATTTTGTTTTGTGTAATGTGGACACCAAGCTTGTTTTAAGTATCTACATGCTGCTGAAATGAAAGTAGAGAACAGAGTAAATAGACTGAGCAAAACTGAGCGAGTAGATTTTAAGTTTTTGAGATGCTACAATGGGCAGCATTAATTTGGGTAAGGTACAACCCAGCAGACCAGAATTGAGCTGAAGATCCCTGTCTGATAAATACAGAAGGGAGCACTTCTGCAGAGACTAGGGAGCGGAAAGTACCAATGTTAGAGCGCTAAACTAGTTGGGAGGGTTCTCTGTGTGTCTGAAAAAGCAGAAGCTTCTTGATTGCCTACAGAGCATCACTCCTTATGCTACCTTTCCAGGGACAGAGAGTATGCACTTGTGAGAAGTATTTTAAAAGGACTCCAGTGTCTCAAGCAATCCTTGAAATTCAGGAGTTAGTCTGATTTAATTCTTCATGACGCATGTATGATGAAAACAATTCTTTTGCAATTTCTTGCATGAAAGTTTGAAGTTTCATAAGAAATGAAGCCAGCAACAGCATATAAAAGATGAGACAGATAAGTGGTGGTAGGAAAATGACATTTTTCTGTCTAAACTGAGGAAATACATGAGGAAGCATCATTAAAAAAAACAAGTTTGAAGGAATGGGGTCTGTGTGTCAATTCGAGGATGAATCAGGTGAAGTAGCTAATGCAGGCTGCTATATCTAAAACTGGGTATCTTCTTCATTGTATCCTTGCTTTCCTTTTAGTATTTGCAGAATCATCCTCAGATATTTCAGTTCAGTCCTGATGAAAATAAAGTTGGTCTGAAAGGAAAACACAAGCTCCCATTTAAGTCAGATTCTCAAGGACAAGATCTCCAAAGCCCTCCTCAGAAGAATGACGTCCAGTGGAATTCAGAAAAAAAACCTACTGGGCTAAGAGACAGTTCTGCTGGTTGCCATTGGTTTGATCTGAATGATTCAAAAGTCCAGCCGATCAAGGAGAAGGATATTGAGAAACAATTTCAGGGTAAAGAGAGTGCCTACATGCTGTTTTATCGAAAATCTCAGTTAAAAAGACCGCCTGAAGGTACACAAAACTCATCTTGATATTTTGGGGGCCTCCTTCATTGACGGTTTGTTTACTGGAGGGCAAAGGCTCTTGGGCCTTTCTGTCCTTTCCAAGAGTTGAAGATAACAGTTTTCTTTCTAGTGATCATTTGAAAAAAGGGTTAACTGAAGGTACAAGGAGGTTACCTCCAATGAGCTAGTGACCAGTTAATTGGCTATAGCTGACACTAACTTTTTTCTAGTACACTTCACAAATACTAGCAGAACATTTTTTACTGAAACAAATAAAAGTTGTTGCTAACAGCATTCATGTATCAGTT